GTTAAACTAATATCATTTTTTCAACTACGAATCGGACTGCCCTTGTTAAAAAATGTTATTGTGAAAAAAGAAACCGTACAAAATGCCATGCGTTGATTACAAGACGTTGTATTACGTCTCGTTTCGTGATACAGCCATATAACATAAGCAATTACTGGTTTAAACTGTTTATCCGACATACTGTGGCTTCATCATACAAGATTGTGATGCTGCCAATTTCAACAAGTGTTGGTTTGTATCCAAGGCGCCTCGAGGGGGATGAAGATGAAACTGTCCTGGTCTGTATATATAATATGTTTTGTTTATTTGTTTGTTTGTTATTTAACGCCGCACTCAGCAATATCCAGCTACATGGCGGCGGTCTGTAAATATTCGAGTTTGGACCAGACAGTCCAGTGACTGATATCATGAGCATCGATCCACGCAATTGGGATACGATGACGCATCAACCAGATCAGCGAGCCTGACCACCCGATCCCGTATGTTACCTCTTAAACAAGCATAGTCGCCTTTTACTTCAAGCATGGGTTGCTGAAGACCTGTTCTACCCCGCATCTTCACGGGGTTATGCAAAATTTAAATGTAATATTGCCTTACACGGCAGAACATTTTTCCGTTCAGTGCATATAGACTTACACCATTAATTTGATATTAAATGTAAAAGTCAGTGATGAAAATTAACGAACATCTACTTTGGGTTCCCATGTATGCACGGGTGTGGTGATGGGGGTGTTTGCGTTGGGAGGGGCTGAATATAGAGTACTGGTAATAAATGGTTTTATTGTCGGTGAGTGAGTTAGTGAGTAAGAGAGTGAGTGTTTGTTTGATTGCTTGTTTGTTGTTTAACGCAAAGCATAGTCAAGAAAGAAGCATAGTCGCCTCTTAGGACAAGCATGGGATGTTGAAGATACATTCTAACCCGGGTCTTCACGGGTGGAGAGAGTGTTTGAGGTGAGTGACTATTTGCCATTACTTCATGTGCATATCAGTGAGTGAGTGAGTGAGTGAGTGAGTGAGTGTCATTTCATTATAGTGAATATTAGTGAGTGAGTTTGCTTTACGGCAAGGAGCGGAGGCAAACACGTGTTCGTGCATGTTGAGTGCTCAATTTCCCCTCTTTGGTACAATGTCTGAAACCCATTTGATGTTGCTGGAATATTGCTAAAAGCGGCATAAAACTTCACTCACTAATGTAGTAATTATGCTGTGAGGGGGTGGATGGGTGAGTGTTTGTTTGTTTGTTGTTTAACTCCGCACTCAGCAATATTCCAACTATATGACGCCGGTCTGAAAAATAATCGAGTGTGGACCAGACAATCCAACGATTGATATCATGAGCACCGATCCACGCAATTGAGATCGATGACATACTTCGCTTTTTACGGCAAGCATGGGTTGTTAAGACCTATTCTACCCCGGATCTTCACGGGTGAGTGAGTGAGAGAAATAACAGAAGTAGAAGCGGTGTGATATTGTAACAGCATAGATGGAGTATCTCCCAGTGCATTATACAGCCAATATATTACTACGTACCCACCACTACGCATAAAAACCTAACAGTTAAAGAGAGATTTTGGCCGATTTTGCTGCAATAATTGTGTTGAAAATGAACTTCCCGTTTTAATTTACTGTCCTGTGTATTGAGACCTATGTTTTAATCAAGATTGTTTAGCAATATATTTTAATGACGAATATGGTGTTTTGTATGATGTAAACAGGTTCTGTTTTTAATGTCAAACAGGGATATACTTGTTATTACTGCCCAAACCCTTATCACATGTCGGCTAGACGTCGACCATTGTTATGTTGTTAATCCCCATGCATGTTAATATTTTATTTTATGATTTATATACATCGTCTCTCGTAGTGCTACATGGAACAGTTTGTGTACTACTCATACTCTGAACGTTGAAATAAGCGACGCTGAAAGTAGCCATCATATCTGAGTACACAGGTGAGCGAGAGAAAATCTGTGCCTAGTTATTGATAGGACAGACGGAGAAATGGGACATAATACTTAGTTTGGTTAATGGAGTCATCGAATGTGTACTTTAATAGCAAAGTGTACAAATACAGGGTATCAGAGGAGTGTCTTCACCATGGTAACGACGAGTGTGACTGATGTCTGGTATTTCCCCGGTGACAACTAGGGGTGAAACGAACAATCGGCGCAACGCGACACCCCCCCCCCCCCCCCCCCCGTTCCACGATACGAGTATCGTATCACAAGATTATGTATCGATACAAACCGAACACGTTTTTATAAGGTCGACATGTGAAGCGGTATGAACATGAATGATAAAATACTGTTTTCTGCTTGTACCAAAAGACGTTAAAAGATGGAACTTGTTACCCTGTCTGGCGCTTGGCACAAGGGGCTAAAACAAGGACTGGTCGGCTCGGAGTCAGTATACTGTGTCTGAGTGGGGTATTCATGTTAAACTGCGGCATGGTATCTCAGTGAGCTAGCACTATAAATCGGCAACAGTCCGGACTAGTACAAGCAGCCACGCAAGCACGTGCATGCACGTCGCTATATAAGTGCAATAATCTTGGACGCGACGTTAACCCAATTTCACCTCACCTCACTGCTTGTATTGTACAGGAGAAAATGAGTGAGTTGGGTTTAACCCCGCTTTGAACAGTATTCCAGTTACATCACGGCGTGTCAGCTTAATGTGGGAGAAAAGCCAGAAAGGTGCAGGTATCAGTTTACCACTTTTGGGAACCCAAGAGCACAGGTATGGGGCTAACAAACCAAGAAACATGACCAGGCCAAATACCGGGATTCGAACCCATGATCATAGGTTTCTTGCGTGCCCAAGGGACCAAACTCTGCAGCGAAGTGTGGTACCTTAGACGATTGGGCCATCCGTTCCCAAAAATTGTACAAGAGGTCTTATGTGATGTGTGTTAATTGACTCAAAAGTACAAAACATTTGTTTGTTTGTTTGTTGTTTAACGCCGCACTCAGCAATATTCCAGCAATTTGAGGGCGGCCTGTGAATAATCGAGTCTGGAACAGACAAATCAAGTGATTGACATCATGGGCATCGATCCACGCAAATGGGATAAGATGACATGCCATTAACCAAATGCAAATCACTGAGCCTGACCACCTGATCCATATAGTCGCCTCTTACGACAAGCACAGGTTGCAGGGTAGTTATAGTTTTACCCGGAATGTCCTGGGTGAATATACAAAATATGTTTTAGTTGGGCTTCTATTGACTCCTACCAATGATGGATATGTTTCTTTTACAAAATAAATGTCGAGTATTTTATGTATCGTACCGTGATATATATCGTCTGGAGGTACGAGTATATCGTATCGCAACTATGTTATCGTTACAGGTTAGTGGGCGCTGATGCTCCGTCTCCAAAATTACCACTTAGTGTAGGATTAACGATACTAAATAATCTTACAAGCAATATTAAACATTATCAAGTTCTGACAGCTGCTACCATATCCTTGTCGGGGTCAATGCCACCTTCCGACCAAATCGTACACATCAAATACAGTAAACTAAAACAAACAAACAAATCTGGCCTTATTTAAAACAATAAGTAAGGAAGCTATTGGTATTTCTTATTACATATACTAACAAAATTTATCAAACTGAAAAGTAAGTTTTGAAAACACCGTCTCATTTAACGACGAGACAGCTACTTCACGTACATGTCCGTTATCGATCGGCGTGAATGAGCTTAATACAATATATTTACCAGAAGCCTCTTTGGCTAGCCAGTCGACTTCGGTTTGATGCGAGGGATCTATAGAACTTCAGAAAAACGTGGCACTGAACGTGCCGACATTCTACATCATAATACTCTTCTCAGTGTTTAGTAAATCTTTCCATTTATACCATATCATTAAATCATTTCATCGTGAACATGGCGAATGTCGACGTCGGCACTGCTGCAGTCTGTAGCGATCGCACGGAGTTACGTAGTCCTATTTTGACAATAGACATGAACCTCACACATCCCTTAAAGATTTATAGCTTTGTTCTAAAGCAGTTATAAATAAACTGGACGATAAGCAAACAGATGCGACACTAATAGGCTAATTAAAGGTAAATCTTACCTCGGTTATTGAGAATGGTAAATACCGATCGTGTCAGTGATAGTCTCGCACATTATTTTAATATACTTACCCTTTTGTATAATGCAAAACAGAAGTTATATGACGTGTTGCTGAACGGTTAAGGGGAAGTAACTCTTATATCCTCTGTTGCGTTACTGCATTGTTGCAAGCGAGCCAGTTCTTCCAACTTTGGTTTTGACAAAAGTCCAAAACATGAGACTAATTTAATTCCCGATATGTCATCGTTAGTTAGTGTACCATGAAAGGGCTAACTTGAAGCATGTTTTCCACATATCGTACAGATTTGGGGAATAGAAGCAGGACCTTCGATTGTTAACCAAAACGCTTTCACGTCGTCTACATTGTCAAATTGTAGTATTAGTCCTCCAGGAGTTACCTCCCTTCTATTAGCTGTCGCCGATGACTCGCGGATCCACTCGGCTTTTTTCGGTGTGAGGAGAGTGGAGGTCGCGTAGTGAGTCAATAGATGCAAGTAATCGAGTAATTCCTCATCATAATATAATCATCCCTGATGTACCATACGCATGCGATACTTCTGTCTCGGAGAAAACACACCATGGCTTGTACCGACAAACACGCACAAAACACACACACACACACATATGCACAAAACAACACACACAGAAACGCAAACGCACAAACAGACGCACAAAACATAACAACACACACACACCCACACACCCACACCCACACACACACCCTCTAGTTTTACGCCGCTTTTAGCAACATTCCAGCAATACTACGGCAGGGGACATTCGGAAACGGGCTTCACACATTGTACCCATGTGGGGAATCGAACCGGTCGAACGCTGTAACTACTAGGCTACCCCTGCGGTCTCACACTGTCAAGTACAACTCATGATACAACGAGGCGTGGGAGAGGTGGGTTTTACAAGTTTATTTATTGACATCAGAAAATACATAAACTCATTACGAACACCGCGAATAGGGCTGGAACGATCCAAATTGTGTAGTTATATAACAAAAGATTATAATGCTAATTTGGCTCTTTTAAAATCGCTATTTGATGAGATCTCAAGATACCCAAAATACTGTAGGCACAAGTGGCAGGAGGATTACAAGTAAACAACGTACGGCAACATCACACGTGTGTGATCATATTGAAAAGTGGACTTAGATCGCTGAGACAAGATGATAATCATCCTTTTTTAAACCGACTGATGATCGATACAATTTGTGAAATGATGCTCATCGAGTGAGTGAGTGGGTGAGTGAGTACGGTTTTACGCCGCTTTTAGCATTATTCCAGCAAGATCACGGCGGGGGACACCAGAAATGGGCTTCACACATTGTACCCATGTCGGGAATCGAACCCGGGTCTTCGGTGTGACGAGCGAACGCTTTAACCACTAGGCTACCCGACCGCCCCCGATGCTCATCGATGCACCGGTGTATTGATGAACGTAACAACCTAAAAAACATGCAAGTATTTATCCTGAATACTACACCATGCCAAGCACAGTGAGCCTGCTGAGTCACGTTTCTTGACCGAATATAATATACAAACCCACAACACCGGGATATACAAAAGCGAAAAGTTTGACATCACTTCACATTTATCATCATAATATTCATCATCATCATCATAAAGCTAAACATCCAGATTCGTACAGTCAAACACCGTTGTGTGGAACTTTGACGTGTCGAACTTACGGTTATCTCGAAGTAAAAACTTGGTCCCTGCATATTCTTTCTTTATTCGTCATTTTCTGTTATGTCGAACCTTGGATAACTCGAGGTATTTACGTAGGTTCCTTCAATTTCGACACACGGGTGTTTGACTGTAGAGGAATCTGGATGTTTAGCTTATGATGATGATGAATATGGTGAATATTATGATGATGATGATGATGATGATGATGATGATGAATGTGAAGTGATGTCAAACAGTTCGCTCATGTATATCCCCGTGTTATGGGTTTTTGGGCGCTAAAGAAACATTCGTAGTTTTCTCGCTAATCACATGATCAACTGTAAAACATTTCACTCACTTATGAAAGACAACCTTATCTTGAAAACAAACCATCATCTGAGTATTTACTATGTGACACCACAACCCTCGTTATAACACGGCCGTCCGAAAACGTTGGCTGTCCATAACATATGATCCGACGAAACAGTGTGTTGTCACCCCCTTGCTGTGGTCATTATAACTGAAAGCTCGTCATTTTGATCATAAACTCACCACAGCTCGCACAGCAGACTCACTGCAAGGACAATAATTTTAAGGCCAAACTTCAATACGTGATTACACTCTTGAAAATATATAAAATTAATTAATGATATTGAGTGCTTCACAAAATACCATGTTGTTTGTATGATCTGGGATATAAAAAAGGTAAAACGAAAATTAATATATGATTACTTGATAGAAAAATAGATTAATATATGACTGTATAATAGATTCATAAATTAATATATGATTACATGATAGATTAATAAATTAATAGATGATTGCATGATAGATTAATAATTTAAAAATTATTGCATGATAGATTAATAAATTAATAGATTATTGCATGATAGATTAATAAATTAATAGATGAATGCATGATAGATTAATAGATGAATAGATGATTGCATGGTCAATTAATAAATTAATAGATTATTGCATGATAGATTAATACGTAATTAGATGATTGCATGATAGATTGAAAAAATAAAAGATGATTGCATGGTAAATTAATAAATTAATAGATTATTGCATGATAGATTAATAAGTAAATAGATGATTGCATGATAGATTGAAAAAATAATAGATGATTGCATGGTAAATCAATAAATTAATAGATGATTATGTAATAGGTGAAAATGTAATGTTGACATCATTAAAAAAAACCCAACCAAAATATTACAGTGAAGAAATGAAACTCATGATTAAGTCAATCAAAGATAATAGCAGGATAGTGTATGATTCAAATGGTTTCAGTTTATATCGATGGAAATTCTACGTATAATACAAATACAAAAAAAAAGATAATAATATTAATAATAATAATCACATCTCATCTCATTTCAGCTGCGCTGCTCAGCATGAACATCGCACAGTACAGAAACATTGATTTTGTCATAAACTGGTTTAAGAGAAATATATTTGAAACGGAAATAAAAAGTGTATAATTTGATGCACAAGAACACTGAACATCGTTATTACATGATCGACATTGATCAAAATCAACGAATTTATGGATCAAGAACACGAACATCATCTTAAATTAGCAAAGTATATAATAACTGAATAATATACGAAACACGATCAGAAAGTATGCAAGCCTAGACGTATATCTATAGAAAACAGTTGGAGCAAACTTTTTCGCATAAATTAGACATCTTATTTATTTTTAGGTATATTAGATGCCTCTTCTCTACTCTATCCCAGCCGCTGGCTTGTACTTCGGGGGTTTTACGCAGGGCACTGAAACAAGAAATGGACGTGTGTATTGCTTTGATAGGTCCATATTTATGAGAGCCAGTTGTGTTTTAAAATACTTCATCCATCACGGCGTGTCAAATTAATTTGCATGGGGAGCCAGAGATGACGCACGTGGAGGGTATGGAGCCTGGTACATCTAAGGGGCGTAACTCTACAGCGAATAGCAACGCCTTAAATGATATACCCCGAAAGAAAGAATTTAGAAATGCTAAACGAAAACCTATGACAACGAAGAATATAGAAGTACTTAAGTAAGACGACAAAGACTACGGAAGCACGTTAAGTAGGAAGACAAACACCCACCGGGGGCACGGGTGGCCCAGTCGTCTAAGGCGCCCCGATTCGCTGTGCAGAGTTGCGTCCCTTAGGCACGCCAGAAACCTATGATTGTGGGTTCGAATCCGGTTCGCCCCAATTATGTTTCTAGGTTTGTCAGCACCATACCCGTGCTCGTGGGTTTCACCGAAGTGGTAAACGTCTGAGACCTGCATCACTTCGGGCTTTCCTCCCACATTAAGCTGACACGCCGCGATATAACTGGAATATTGTTCAAAGCGGCGTTAAACCCAACTCACTCACTCACAAACACCCACCAATTCCTCTGATCGGTTTAGACTGTGGCGAGTAGCCATTTCTGGTCGTCTTCATGTGGTCCCGGAGGTTGGTGTAACGCTTAGGGTCCTTGTAGCTGATGCGTGATATTGTCGACTCGGTGTAGATGATGTTCGGGGGCCTCCCTGTAGCACGACATGCAAGTTTTCAGGGTATATTAAACGGCATGTTTCCAACATGAACTCAAGAAATAATATGAAAAATCGGATATATTTTATTCCGCTTCTCTGTGTTCGGAATGCATCAAAACTTTTAGAGACATTACCATTTTGTAACAGTGTTTCAAATAATGACTTTGTTGTTGCATTTTGTTTGTGTCTACTTGTTTAAGGTTATTTGAGACAATATTTACATTACATGCAATGGAGCAGTCTAAGGCTATGCTATGCTTGTTTAATAATGAAACGTAACAGGCAAGGTAAACAATGTAGTGTATAGGACTGGTTCGGTTATTGAAATCTATACACGATAAAGATATTTAAAGTCTGTACTCAGATTCTAATGATATCATATTATATCATGTTATTGTTGCTGTTTAACGCCGCACTCAGCAATATTCCAGCTATATGACGGCGGTCTGTAAATAATCGAGTCTGGACCAGACAATCCAGTGATTGACATCATGAGCATTGAGCCAAGCAGTTAGGATCGATGATATGCATCAACCACGTCAGCGAGCCTGACCACCCGATCCCGTTAGTCTCCTCTTACTGCTAATGATATCATTTCCGTAAACTTAGAATTGTCTTCCTGATTTGATCAGTCATAACCGAATTGTCTTCAAATCCACGTTGTTCTCATGTGTCGAAAGTTTGCCAACAATCAATGAAAACCGTCAAAGACTTTCTCTGTTTATTAGGCCTTGCAATTTATTGCCTGGTTAAAAGATCTGTCGACCTTAAAAATCGAAAAAGAAGAAAAAATCAGAATGAGAAGATTTTTTTAAATTTTTTTTTTTATATCACTGACGGTAAATATCGCTCTGACAATAAAAATGACAATGGAAGCAGCTGTAAGATTTCAGATTTCTAAATATATATGCAGACCCAAACAAACCGACAATCCAAATAAAACTTTAAGATGGTAAAAAATGATCATATACACTGCTTTTCTTTTCGACCTACCGACCACGGCCCCGTTACACAAAGCTATCTTAACGCTAAGGTGATCATAAGTCCTATACTTTAACATAGGTTTACGATAGGAGTAGCGCTAACATCGCTTTCTGCAACGGGACCCAGATCAAGAAGTCTAGCCTGACATTGTTTTGTTTATTTGTTGTTAAACCGCCGCACGCAGCAATATTATAGCTACTAGTATATGACGGAGGTCTGGACCAGACAATCCGGTGATCCGGCGCGTCGATCAACGCAATTGGGATACGATGACATGCATCAACCATTTCGGCGAGCCTGACGACCCGATCCCGTTAGTCGCCTTTTACGGCAAGCACGGGTTTCTAAAGTCCTATAGTCTAACCCGAATCTTCAATGGTCGTTGAACAGTAGATTTTAGTTTGTTGATACTTTCACGCCGAATGACGCACCTCTTTCCTTGGGCGAAATCACAATAGGGCCACAGGTGAAATTCTCCAATCCTGCGACAGATTCGAAGAGGAATGTTTTTAGTAGGTTGTAAATAACAGGTTGTGAGTGGGAGATTGGTCAGTTTGTGAGTCAAGTCGAGTTTTCACCATCAGCAATATATCAAAGCTATAGTAGGTGGCCTCTGAAAAAACTGATTTGGCATATTCAAATCAGTTATTTATCGATGGCTATCCACCAACATCCTCGCTTGGTGCGATGGTATCTCCGTGTCAACCGAAAGCGGCAACTTGTTTGTTTGTTGTTTAACGCCGCTCTCAGCAATATTCCAGCTGTATGAGGCGGTCTGTAAATAATCGAGTCTGGACCAGACAATCCAGTGATTGATATCATGAGCATCGATCCACGTAATTTGGATACGATGCGATGCATCAACCAAGTCAGCGAGCCTGACTTTTTGATCCCTTTAGTTGCCTCTGACAACAAGCATAGTCGCCTCTTACGGCAAGCATGGGTTGCTGAAGACCTATTGTAACCTGGATCTTCACGGGTCCCAGTTTGGCCACTTCTTCCAATGCATTTAAACACAGAGATAAACATCATCATACACTGTCTATACCACTCAAAAGAAGTTTAGTTATATGAAAGAATCAGGAACTTCTCTTCAGTGGTCATATTATGCCTGATGAATATCGAAGACCTAACACAAAGGTGACTGTCATTTGTTCAATAATCAAATTAAAAAAAAGGGATGCTTTTAACATGGAAGCAAAATTTTTTTGTGAGGAAACAAAGCATTTTTACATTTATTTCTGAAATTACATTTTAAAATAAATTTTGTTTTCGAAATATTTGGCTATTTCCACTTTGCCGATGGGAATGTTATATTTGCAAGATGACGTTCAGGTTAATACCCAAACACAGAAATACGTCAAAATCAAAGGAGAGGACGTTCCGCAAAACAGTTCAATCATATGTTGTTGCCTAACCTAAATGGAATAGGGGCAAGCGTCCTGGTGCTTCAATATCAACAATATATAGATAATACCTGGTGCTACAATATCAACAATATATAGATAATACCTGGTGCTTCAATATCAACAATATATAAATAATACCTGGTGCTACAATATCAACAATATATAGATTATACCTGGTGCTTCAATATCAACAATATATAAAAAAAATCCCTGGTGCTACAATATCAACAATATATAGATAATACCTGGTGCTACAATATCAACAATATATAGATAATACCTGGTGCTACAATATCAACACTATATAGATAATACCTGGTGCTACAATATCAACAATATATAGATAATACCTGGTGCTACAATATCAACACTATTTAAAAAAACACCTGGTGCTACAATATCAACAATATATAGATAATACCTGGTGCTACAATATCAACACTATATAAAAAAAACCCTGGTGCTACAATATCAACAATATATAGGTGATACCTGGTGCTACAATATCAACAATATATAGATAATACCTGGTGCTACACTATCAACACTATATAGATAATACCTGGTGCTACAATATCAACACTATTTAAAAAAACAAACCCGGTGCTACAAAATCAACAATATATAGATAATACCTGGTGCTACAATATCAACAATATATAAATAATACCTGGTGCTACAATATCAACACTATATAAAAAAACCCTGGTGCTACAATATCAGCAATATATATAAAATACTAATGATGGAAAAAACAACTATATTTTATTATTAGTAGATGTACCCCGAAGACGACTATAAACTGTCAGGCCGGTCCATACAATGTCATGACTAATTATGTCATATCGCCCGACCTGCCATTTTATAGTCGACTCTTGGGTACATGTAATTGTGCCCGAAAACTGACACTGTCTACTTACTGAGAACATTAAATACGTCTGGTCGTGCCTGTGATAAGCGGTAGAAGTTTGGGTTCCAGACAGTGTAGGTCTGAAGCAGAAAGCACAGGACGTATTAAAACCACAGGTAAAAAAATTCACTCCCAACCGTGAACACACATAAATAGTGCCACGGACTTCTTTTCATAATGTTTTGGTCGAGTCAAATGCATTTTAGTTGGACATCGTTGGTGGCGATACAGATTCATTAGCAAGGGTAAAACTTGGGATATGTCAAGGATGAAAGATAAATTGTGAAATTCGGATATTTCGGACTTCTGTAGCAGGTCACATTGAGTTCCACTTGCACCTGGAGGTCACCTCATATTAAAAATAAAATTAAAAAAAAAGGCCCGCACGTCCACACCTCAACACGCCGTACAGCGTACAGGTGAAATACCCGGTCCGGAGGTATGTTTATACAATAAACATAAATATTTAAATTACACATATATGTCGGATATAAAATATTTACATGAAACACATTATTAACACCGTGTACAAAAATAACGATTCTTTCGTGTGCACTTTTACAAAATATAATCCAAAATGTTGACCCTATAAACGATTTAATCACCGTCAAAGTAAGCTCTTGATTGGAATTTAAAAGTTCGAAAAAACATGAAGATATGAAACAACAAAGTAGCTGATATTCATAAAATCTTCATGTCTTTTGACATTCGCCGCCATATGGCTGGCATATTGCGTTAAACAACAAACAACAAAGCAAACAATCTTAATGTCAAAGTACAAATACCGATTTCCCCTTGTCGCATTGGTGCACGTGGCCCTGGGGGTGAGGGCTGGATATGCGGGTAGGGGAGCAGATCTCAGGTAGGGCGATACCCTGCGTCAGATCTTGCCCCCCAAAGTCCCTCAGGGTCGTTATCCGGGGACGGTGGTATTTCTTGGTAAAGACGTTCGCCATGTTGTTGCCGTCGAGGGTAGATCCGACAACTGTTTCCCCTGACGTGCTCACGCTAGCAGCAATATGACGAAGATGCCTTTCTGTGACGTCATAATACTGTGACGTCACTAGTCTCTGTGACGTCATCTGATTTTAACATTATTGAGCGGCTCAATTTTCTTTATACTCGCGCATAAATGTTTTCTAGACAAGAAGTAGGTTTACTTTATTTTTCCAAAATACATTAATGACACTTTCATTCATCTCTGGTCAGTGGTGTCTCCTGAACTTATGAAAAGTAGATGGAGTCCCTGTGACCAAAACAATGTTGTTGCGGAGAATTTGTTTGTTTGGATAATAAGGAGATAAACCTACTGTGTTTTAAAAATTGATGTAATCCCACTGTTAGATACCGCTTATTTTAATTTAAAATCAAGCTCTTTAGCGCGAGGTTTCAATTGTATAAATAAAAGGAAATTTGAAATGTGAAATGCATACTGAACTAGCAATATGATTCTCAGTCATTCGCCGGTCGGTCATCACCATATCATGGATTCCCTGGATTATTTCTGGTGTTGCTGACGTCCCAGGCTTTCCTGGACGGGGGTCGTCTTCAGGGCTCTTCCTGCCACGCTTAACCCGCGGGATGCCGAGTTTTTTTCTGACATACATTTTACCGGTTTGAAAAAAGACACTGCTATGTGTTGTTAGAGAATTTATCTGCGTTAAAAAACAGCAAATGTCTCCGATTTTTATCGTACACCGAGTACTGTGCGACGATTTAAAAAAAATAATTAGCAGTTTTACGGAAACTGTGAGCAAAAACATACTTATATCTGAACGACATAAATATATATCAAATGGATTTAAATGCTTATGTATAACGTTATACATTCAATTAAAAAATAGCCTGCCGTAAATGACGAAAACTGTGGATAAGGACAATATATTTTCGTTGTGATTTGTTCACGAGGAACCAAACTATTCCAACACAAATATCGATATTGACACTGTATACGTTTAGGTATAAACAAACCCATAAGAAATAATGAAATCGTACTTTATAAAAAAGGAAATAATAGCGAAATGGATGGCCCTATCTAACGTATAAATTAGTCCTTAGATTCCAATATTCTCCCGATCGTGCAAGTTTAATTTGAATAATCATGTTTCACCATTATTGATTAAACACTAGCCTTATTATAAAATGTTGGGTACAATGTGTGAAGCCCATTTCTGGTGTCTCCCGCCGTGATATCGCTGGAATATAGCTAAAAGCGGCGTAAAACCATACTCACTCACTCACTATTATAAAATGTAATGAATTCATGGCTGGTTTTATGACATTGACAACAGCGAAAGATTTGCTCTATTGACAAAAGTTTTTCTCGATATACGTCTAAGACATCATGTAATGTCCACACTTAATGTTTTCACTAATACGCAATTCCTTCTGTGTGAAGCTCAGAACGTATCGGTCAACCGACAACTTTCGTGTTCTAGTTGATAGAGCATCTGCCCGGAGAGTGGAAGGTCCGGGATCCGATCTTTCGCCGCGTCATACAAAAAGACGTTAAAAGATGGTACTTGATGTACCCTGCTTGGCGCTCGGCATTAAGGGGCTGAAACAAGGACTGGTGGGCTTGGATGTCAGTATGTAGCGGCCACAAAATTTCCGAATCCCGTATTCGAAGCAGGGACCTTCTGATCCGAGGTCGGACACCTTGTCCACATGACCAAAGAGGTTAACTCCGTCAGAAAGCTGATAAGGTAAGGATGCCATCTGTGGGATGACTGCACGCCCTGCTACAGGTATACTGTGTCTGAGTAGGGGATCCAGGGTGAAACTGCGGCAAGTTATCTCAGTGAGGAAGGACAATTAAAAAACCCTAAATAGTGAAGGATAGTACAATCACACACGCACACACGCACGTAAACACACACATACACCGAAACACACACGCTAGCACATGTGCTCGACAATTGGATGGAGCTAGATGTCAAGTACGAATAGCAAATAGCACACAGGTAAGGAAGGCAATATTCAGTAAGGATTCAAAAGTAGCAACGTTTAAGAGCTTGTAATAGGCGACTAAAGGGATCGGGTGGTCGGGATCGCAGACTTGGTTAATGCATGTCATCATATCCAAACTGCGTAGATCGATGCTCTTGATATCAATCACTGAATTGTATGGTCCAGACTCGACTATTTACAGACCGCCGCAATATGGCGGGATATTGCTGAGTGCAGCGTTAAACAAACAAGCAAACAAGCAAACATTATGCCGGGGTCATCGCGTGCAAATTATTCCCACGCGATGTGAAGCGGCCATAAAATCGGAAAGTGGATATCGTTCATTCACCACTTATAATTTAGTAAAAATAACCAGTGAAATCAGATCGTCCTTCAATGTCATGGAAGAATATGATAATTCATTGTATTCAGGGGCGCAACTAGGCTGATTTTAAGTGAAAGCAAATCCAATCGTCTGGGGGCGAAATCTTAAAAGATTAGAAGCTCTTAAACACCATTTCCTTCATTTTGGGACCGTTTATTTTAGATTTTATATCTAACAATTATTGGTAATTTATTTATTATATTTTTTATTAGACATATATATACGTGTTTCACCATCACATTTCTGACACAACAATGAAAGAAACATTAAATATAAAGGCACCATGTCATCGTCAGAATCGCAGAATTTTGGCTTTGAATTAACGTTGAAATGTTTGTGAGAAATATGTTATAATTCAAAGATTAGGGCAATTCGGCGGTTTTCTTCGTCCAGAAAAGTCGTCAATCACTTTGTCAATATCCTTGTGGATGTGGAGGAGTGCCACAGACCTCATTCTCTCGTTGGTCAGTGTTGACGTGAGGTATGTCTTGATCGGCTGAACGTGGCAGAACTCACTGGCATTGTGACCATTGTTTTCACAGGTATAATGAACCATCTACAATTAAAATTCTGATGTGCGTAAAGATTCCGCTTTTCAAGTTGGACAATATAAATCATGTTCGACCGTGTAGAGTTTGAATTAATAATTTACTGCATAGATTGTAAATTTAGGTTAACTTATATTTACTTATTTACTTATTAAGTGTTAGCAATTGTTTTTCTATTAAAAGGGAAGTTTCGCCCCTGGTATTAACCGCGACCTTCAAACTGCAGATTGACGAACGTGGTGTTGACAGATCGTTAGCTAACAAAACAAAACAAAAAACAACGACAAAACAAACAACAACAACAAACAAACAAAACAAAACAAACACATGTGAGAACAAACCGTCACACAGGAGCCTTTCGTATTGATACAGTGGAAACACGTTATCTTTCTTGGCAGTCCATGGACTATATATAGCTGTATTTGTAGCAGATATTTATTTCACCTGGTCGTGGAGATTCTTTACAGGAGAAAATGATTTCCTGGGTAAAATATTCCAGTGGAAATTTCCACAACCAGTACCCTACTAACACCGGACTATTTTCCCATATGGATAATTATTATTTCCTCCGGAAACTTTTTACCCCAAAAACATTGATCGCGACGGGACATGAAGTTGCGATGAGTTGCCTCCCTTGATAAACGCGAAAGTCGATAAAACCAACACAAACAGACCGTCAGGAGTGTGTGGTGTGGCGAGCCGACTGTCTCGGGTAAGTGTGTGTTTTCTGGTATTTGGCTGTCGTCACCTTGTAACACTCCAAGGTCGTCATAGTGTGTGTGTTTGATACCACCACATGTGTCATTGTACATGAAAACACATTTCAGGCATAGTCACCTCATCCAGAGCCCCGTGGTTAGTCAAATATTGAATGCAGCATCTCTCGCTGCCATTTCATAACATTTACTGGTATAATTATTGTGAGATTCTGTCTGGCTCATTTGTATAACCAGTAGCATATGTTTATTATATCACTGGCCGCGAGATAGTCAAATCTGTCAGAAATACATCCTCTATCTGTGGAGTGACGATAAACTGATGTCTCTGTCGAGGTACCATATGTAGTCACTGGTCAAAGTTCAAGGCCATTTGTCGTGTTTCACGGTCAGGATCGCAGAAACCGTACAGACACATATATAATGGCTTGAAGATACACGTTGGGGTTGGTACAAGAAGTTTGGTATTTGATAATTGGCAGTTGTCATGGTAGTAGGTACTGCACTTTTCAGGGCGCACTTTTTCGGATTTCAATTCGCACCGCATTCCCAGTTTGAAGTTAATGAGTTAATCTAATCAGCCACCAACACACCACGGGACCACGGGCGTTATCCCAAACAGTTAGTGCTCGTTTTCCAAGTCATCAGCACCCGAGTAGACATTTTGTTTCAGCGAAACTCGTAATTCTTTATATGAGATAGCTAACCTTTACCCTACCTGACAACTAATCCTAAGGATATTGAAGGGGTGTTTGATCGGAAAGGGGTGCCCAACCCTAAGGATATTGAAGGGGTGTTTGATCGGAAAGGGGTGCCCAACTCTAAGGATATTGAAGGGGTGTTTGCTCGGAAAGGGGTACCCAACCCTAAGGATATTGAAGGGGTGTTTGATCGGAAAGGGGTGCCCAACCCTAAGGATATTGAAGGGGTGTTTGATCGGAAAGGGGTGCCCAACTCTAAGGATATTGAAGGGGTGTTTGATCGGAAAGGGGTACCCAACCCTAAGGATATTGAAGGGGTGTTTGATCGGAAAGGGGTGCCCAACCCTAAGGATATTGAAGGGGTGTTTGATCGGAAAGGGGTGCCCAACCCTAAGGATATTGAAGGAGTGTTTGATCGGAAAGGGGTACCCAACCCTAAGGATATTGAAGGGGTGTTTGATCGGAAAGGGGTACCCAACCCTAAGAATATTGAAGGGGTGTTTGATCGGAAAGGGGTACCCAACCCTAAGGATATTGAAGGGGCGTTTGATCGGAAAGGGGTACCCAACCCTAAGGATATTGAAGGAGTGTTTGATCGGAAAGGGGTACCCAACCCTATGGATATTGAAGGGGTGTTTGATCGGAAAGGGGTACCCAACCCTAAGGATATTGAAGGGGTGTTTGATCGGAAAGGGGTGCCCAACCCTAAGGATATTGAAGGGGTGTTTGATCGGAAAGGGGTGCCCAACTCTAAGGATATTGAAGGAGTGTTTGATCGGAAAGGGGTACCCAACCCTGAGGATATTGAAGGGGTGTTTGACCGGAAAGGGGTGCCCAACCCTAAGGATATTGAAGGGGTGTTTGATCGGAAAGGGGTACCCAACCCTAAGGATATTGAAGGGGTGTTTGATCGGAAAGGGGTGCCCAACCCAAAGGATATTGAAGGGGTGTTTGATCGGAAAGGGGTACCCAACCCTAAGGATATTGAAGGGGTGTTTGATCGGAAAGGGGTGCCCAACCCTAAGGATATTGAAGGGGTGTTTGATCGGAAAGGGGTGCCCAACCCTAAGGATATTGAAGGAGTGTTTGATCGGAAAGGGGTACCCAACCCTAAGAATATTGAAGGGGTGTTTGATCGGCAAGTGGTGCCCAACCCTAAGGATATTGAAGGGGTGTTTGATCGGAAAGGGGTGCCCAACCCTAAGGATATTGAAGGGGTGTTTGATCGGAAAGGGGTGCCCAACCCTAAGGATATTGAAGGGGTGTTTGATCGGAAAGGGGTGCCCAACCCTAAGGATATTGAAGGAGTGTTTGATCGGAAAGGGGTACCCAACCCTAAGCATATTGAAGGGGTGTTTGATCGGAAAGGGGTGCCCAACCCTAAGGATATTGAAGGAGTGTTTGATCGGAAAGGGGTACCCAACCCTAAGGATACTGAAGGGGTGTTTGATCGGAAAGGGGTACCCAACCCTAAGGATATTGAAGGAGTGTTTGATCGGAAAGGGGTACCCAACCCTAAGGATATTGAAGGGGTGTTTGATCGGAAAGGGGTGCCCAACCCTAAGGATATTGAAGGAGTGTTTGATCGGAAAGGGGTGCCCAACTCTAAGGATATTGAAGAGATGTTGGATCGGAAAGGGGTGCCCAACCCTAAGGATTATGAAGGGGTGTTTGATCGGAAAGGGGTACCCAACCCTAAGGATATTGAAGGGGCGTTTGATCGGAAAGGGGTGCCCAACCCTATGGATATTGAAGGGGTGTTTGATCGGAAAGGGGTGCCCAACCCTAAGGATATTGAAGGAGTGTTTGATCGGAAAGGGGTACCCAACCCTAAGGATATTGAAGGGGTGTTTGATCGTAAAGGGGTGCCCAACCCTAAGGATATTGAAGGAGTGTTTGATCGGAAAGGGGTACCCAACCCTAAGGATACTGAAGGGGTGTTTGATCGGAAAGGGGTACCCAACCCTAAGGATATTGAAGGAGTGTTTGATCGGAAAGGGGTGCCCAACCCTAAGGATATTGAAGGAGTGTTTAATCGAAAAGGGGTACCCAACCCTAAGGATATTGAAGGGGTGTTTGATCAGAAAGGGGTGCCCAACCCTAAGGATATTGAAGGAGTGTTTGATCGGAAAGGGGTACCCGACCCTAAGGATATTGAAGGGGTGTTTGATCGGAAAGGGGTACCCGACCCTAAGGATATTGAAGGAGTGTTTGATCGGAAAGGGGTGCCCAACCCTAAGGATATTGAAGGGGTGTTTGATCGGAAAGGGGTACCCGACCCTAAGGATATTGAAGGGGTGTTTGATCGGAAAGGGGTGCCCAACCCTAAGGATATTGAAGGGGTGTTTGATCGGGAAGTGGTACCCAACCCAAAGGATATTGAAGGGGAGTTTGATCGGAAAGGGGTGCCCAACCCTAAGGATATTGAAGGGGTGTTTGATCGGCAAGTGGTGCCCAACTCGAATAATCGTAAAGGGGTGCTTGATCGAAAGGCGATTCAAAGGCTAAGGATAGATTTGGGGGTAACCTCCCCTAACCTCAACACAACTAACCCTAAGGATGGGAGAGGCACACGAGATCTGTGTGGCAAGTGTCACTTTCGGCAGCCCGAGCCAATTAGCGCCGGCACACTGCGCCCTGTAACCTCCATTGTAACCGTTGTCTGTCCTGTTTGTGCGTTTCTAAACATTCAAGTTCTGTGGATTTTGTTGTCAGTTTAGTTACTTCTCTGTCAATGAAGAACACTGAATGTTTACAAGGGGCTGATCAACACTCTTTCAATACAGTATGACTCCGCGATAACGGCTGCCGATTATTGTAATCATATTTCATCCCAGCACTTGAGAACGATATTCGTCAGCACGCTGGTTGCATCAAATTGCTTTCATGAGGTATTCTACTGTAAGAACTTGTGAATGTAATGGGAGGTTATGTTAATTTACATTGGTGCATGTATAGCAGCGTTACACCACTGTTTCACACGCCTAATAGATAATATTACTTCAAGTATGAGATCATTTTACATATCGGTATATTGGTATATTGGTATATTATCTTACCTACAATATCCACGAGCATGAGAAATGCAACAGCTGACATTTCTTTTTGTAGGCAACATGGCAACTTCACAGAAGTTAACAGAACACTTCCTGACATGCACTATATGCACAGAGGTGTTTGGTAATCCTTGCACCCTTGTGTGTTATCACACCTTCTGTCGGAAATGTGTCGTCAACTACACCAAAACCAGACCAGAAGCCATGACTGCCAAGTCACTCATGTGTCCATTCTGCAAAATGATGACGAAAGTGTCTGCCCCTGAGAGACCAGTGGAGGAGTGGACTGATGACATCAAGCCTAGCTTTGTCATCCAGGGACTCTTGGATTCGTTTGGCCCGGGAGCTAAAGGTGAGTGTCTTTAGACTTGGCAGGACTTTTAAAGGATGTACTCTATTACGTTGTTTTGGTCAGTGTACATACAATATATACACCCCCCTCCTCCTCCCCCCCCCCCCCCCCCCCACACACACACACACACACCTCCGGGCATATAATTTAGGGTTGATGGGTTGATATAGTCACCACTTGAAAAACCTTCAAAGATATTTTTTCCAAACTTGATACATACATTTACCAGGGGCTGGAGTGGTGCCTTTTGCTAGTGTGGGTGCGGGGGATTTGGCCTCTTCTGATGATGCTTGTTTAACAATTTTCAATGTTCATTTGTAAGTAAAATGTTTTCAAAAGTACTATTACGTTTGCAGATACAACATACTGCCTTAGTTGTCGAAAGGAAGGGGAGACAACTCCAGCCACAGCTTGGTGCCCTGTCTGTGATGATGCTCTCTGTGACAAGTGTACGAGACAGCACAACAGCAGCCCAGCAACTCGTCACCATGGTGTCACTGACTTTATTGGAGAGGACAAAGTTGTAAACAGGCGAAAGGTCATGTGTAAAGAACATAAAGGCGAAAATATAAAATTTATATGTAGAGATTGCAAGAAAGCAGTTTGTCCAATATGTTGCACTCTCTACCACAGGAAGTGTCACTCGGTTATCACCATCGAGTCCGATCCGGAGATGCTGATAATTAAAGAGGAACTGACAAATACGAAGGGAAATTTATACAGGAGAAAGGCGGAAATGCAATTAGAGATGGAGAAAAAGAAATCAAAACTGAATGACGAAATAACCAGGTACTCACAAATGGAGACTGACATCAAGTCTACAAGTATCAAAGCTATAGAAGAGATCAAACAGAAGGAGGAGACACTTCTAAACCAACTGAAGGAGATGTCGGCCAAACACACTGGCCACCTGAAAGCTGACATAGAGTCCGACGAAATGTCAGTACAGATGTACCAACAACAGGCTGGACTGATAGAACAGATTCTACTGTCTGAGTGTGACATGGATGTGTATGAGATGTATCAAGGATGTGAGGTCGGAGATGGGGAGACTGTTGGAGACGCAGGGTTGAAGAAGAGCGGACGAATAGCCAAGATCAATTTGAGACAAGACATGGAAAAACTGACTAGAGCACTAGACGATCTACAGCTGGGTGAGATAGACGTGCAGTATGAGAGTGAGCTGGACCTAAAATTGACTCCTGAATTACAGGACACTATTAAAGTCAGAGTACCAAGTGATTCGGGTAATGCATACCCCGTTGACATGACGGTTCTGGTGGTCAATAGAACAGACACAGTGGTAGTCACGGACAACAACAATAAGAGTGTGAAGTCCTTCTACACCAGAAACAAGAAGCAAGGTCACAGTAAGCTCAGTCTGATCAGTAAACCGTGGGGCGTAACAAGGATGAAACACAACCAGGTGGCGGTCACTCTGCCAGATACCAGACAGATTGTAACAGTTGAAGTCAACCCTGACCTGGAGCTGCTGTCAACCGTCACAACCAGCAAACAGTACTGGGGTATAACGTCTCCGACACCATCAACACTAGCAGCAGGTTCCCAGTCCCCTCCCTGTGTTGATATCCTGGATATGTCAGGACACATGCTGAGGTCAATCACCCCAGTACACCACGGTAACAACATTTTAAGATATCCCAACTTCCTCTCCACCACGGGGACAGGAAATATCCTTGTGTCTGACAGTGGAACCGCGTGTGTTATGTGCCTGACCCCCGGGGGAGATGTGGTGTTCACCTACAGCCCTACAGGAGACACACTGACGGTGCCACGTGGTATCTCAAGTACCAGCACAGGCGACATCCTTGTTACATACGACGCTCTTGACAGAGTGATCCATCTGACTGAGTCAGGACAGTTTGTCCGAAACATATTGACATCACGGGACGGTGTTTGGTATCCGTATGGTTTGTGTATATCTGAACAGCAAATATACGTTTGTCATGTTATGACACGCGAGATCAAGGTATTTAAGTTTGGTTGATGATTTCACGATATATTCAACATGGTCAACATTCACTGGATATACGTAACTGTGTAAGGCGGAACCTGAACATTAGACAGGAATGTATATTTGAAAGATACGAATTGTTGTCATCCCATGATTGTGAACATCAACACAGACATACGTATTGAACTGTTGTTGAAATCATACATACTTCTTATGCCAGTGAGCTTGTCAGAAACATAGGCAACTGCAACAATGATAGGTGTATAGTGTAAATGCGTTTCACGAATTCTTACACCCTCGAAGATCCGGGGTAGAATAGGTCTTCAGCAACCCGTAAGAAGCGACGAACGGGATCGGGTGGTCAGGCTCGCTGACTTGGTTGATGCGTGTCATCGTATCCCAATTGTATAAACAACAAAAAAACAAACAAACAAACAAGCAAACAAATACTAGTTCTAAATGTTAGTCCATCACGTCCGTGAAAAATTAAAATAACTTGAACAGAAAGAATATTCCGGATGTCAGGTTATTTGTTCTCGTCAATATTTCACTTTCCAAATTTCCGACTTAAGATAGATAACAAAGATGTCCAATATGTGACGGAAGGATATGTTGAAGATGACTCACTCACTTGATCGGTATGAAATACAAATCCTTAAGAAATCGTTGTACATCCAACACAATGCAATATTTATATGCTACTGGCATTTACTGAAGTTAATTAAATTACTCCGCTAGCAATGTTTATTTATAACGTTGAGTGTATGAGCATGTATGTGATTAAAGTATATAGCAATAATCCTTAACGTTTATACATCCTTTATTTTGATTCTGACCAACACTCTACCATGTTTGTGAACATTCTTCATGAATGAAGCTAGTTGGATTTTGACATATTAAGATGAGTGGCTGTATATGACTATTTATAAATATGGCTATTCATCAGTTCTACCTATCTGCGTTCCTTTCTGTATAGAGTAACGATGTACAGCTTTGCATGTGGTTTACTTGTAAATAAGGATTATAAGTTATCCTGGGGCACGGAGGCCCAGCTGTGTAAGGCGCCGCATTTCGCCTGCAGGGTTGTGTCCCCTAGATGTGCTGGATACCTATCATCGTTTGTTTGAATCCTTGATTATATTTTGTCCGCACCATTCTTTGCCTGTGGGTTTAATTAAAAGTGTAAACGTCTGAAACCAGCGTTACTCAAGGCTTTCTTGGCACAGCAGGCTGAAAATGGCTTTTAACTAAACTCACTCAATGCTAGATTATCTTGCCCCAATCATGGATTATGATGCAATGTAGCATCTTGGACGATGGCCTTCACATCGCAAAAGACTATACATAGGTTAACTCAGTGCACTGTATAGTCTGTTACGGTTAAGGATGAAACAAAGTTATTGTACCACTGTCAGACAGACAGATGGGTCAATATCTTACCTCTGTTGCATAATTTCCTTCAATGATGCATAACGAATGAAGGTAAAAGCATCTCGCCCAACATTTTATACACTTAAATATATTTACTTCATTAATTCAAACCGCCTCCGTGGTCTAGCGGTAGAGCGTCCGCCCGGAGAGCGGAAGGTCCGGGGTTCGATCCCCGACCGCGTCATACAAAAAGACGTTAAAAGATGGTACTTGTTGTTACCCTGTCTGGCGCTCGGCATTAAGGACTGGTCGGTTCGGAGTCAGTTTACTGTGTCTGAGCGGGGAATTCATGTTAAACTGCGGCATGGTATCTCAGTGAGCTAGCACTATAATGGCATCAGTCCGGACTAGTACAAGCAGCCACACAAACACACACACGTACATGCACGTCGCTATATAAGTGCAATAATCTTGGACGCGACGTTAAACACCATTTCACCTCACCTCATTACTTCAATCACATCACACTGACACGAGAGACATGACTTCACGAGCCCTCTTGCTCAAAAGCATCGGCAAAAACTTTCAAAAGTTATAACTGTTTGGTTGTGATTCATTTAAACGTTGACTATGTTTTCGGTTCATTGAGGTATGAATCGGAAAAGCGATGCACAAAGTCAGTAACCAGTCAACGGAGAGTAACATCAAACCAAGTCCATAGAACCTGGCAATCAAGGCACGAGACGAGAAGAACAAATAGATCAGGGAGACGGTTGTTTCAAATGACACGGTCAGTAACCACCAGAACACGTGACTAATTCAAGTAATCAGAATGCAGGAATTGCAATGAACACAACGAAAAAAATTGGTTATTAACAAATGCTTATGATATAGTCGGAATCGTACAGTATTATCCGCTTTTTGTAGTAACATAATTAAGCACACAATTAACACGGTAAAAGATTTAAATGATATGGAATGAAAAAGTTTTGTAACTTGTTTTCAACCGCAGTATTCACTGAAATATCTCAAAATCATTTTCACAGTATCAATTGTTACATGACCATAACGTTTATAAAGCCAGCGGACAGAGTGCTGAATCTGCACACAAAAAATGATTCGACGTTATAAGCGCCCCGCTCTAATAAGCGCCCACGGCGATATTTGCAAATATATTGGCTAGTGAACAATCCCAAATCAGCACCCCTTCCGATTGATCAATGTACACAGGACTTATTTATTCGTGTATAATACGCACTCGTGTGTTATATGCACCCTCAATTATGGGCAATTAAATTATGGAAAAATATATCTGTCGTATGTAAACATTTCAGGCTGTCAGCATAAACCACGAAATTTACGATCTTCCAACTCTGTTTTTTCCCCACCAAAATAATGTTCTAATTAAAGCCCCTTATTTCTAATTTTGAGAGCGCCCTGAGCGTTTATTACGTCGAATACGGTATTACATTACCGCAATTGATAACTGGTCTATTAGCTATGAGAGGTATTGGCAACAAGGTAGAGTGTGGATTATTGTCAAACATTTATCTATTCCGCTAGGAAAAGAGGGGCCACAACTTTGTACATGAGTGTTCGAATGTGTTTGTACAGTCCTATATAACTATCCCATTTCTAAGTGACCCATGAAGATCCAGGGTAGAATAAATCTTCAGCAACCCATTTGTGCCGTAGGATCGGTGCTCATGATATCAAACACTGGATTGTTGCTTTTAGAAGTAAATTTTTTTATGCCTGGAATACTTGAACGCCTTCACTATCTTGTCATCTTTGAGCAGAAGACTACAAGGTTTACAATAATACCTTTGTAACTTTGAAATGAGATGCCACTGTCCACCACGTCCATCGCAGTTACGGCGGGATGAGGATCACGTGAGAACAGGACTGACAACAGATTGTGTGTCGTCATGCCAACGAGGTGGACATTGCTCATGCTATCAACCACTGGTCTGCCATCTCGTGACTCCAGCGGTAAACAACATGCACTCACTGATGTCAGACTGTTTGGGTGATGAACGACCCCAAGGTGTCGGGGAATTTACTTCATCATGTCGGGAGTTTACTTCATCATGTTAGGGAGTTAACTTCATGTCAGGGAGTTTATTTCATCATGTCGAGGAGTTTACTCATGTCAGGGAGTTTACTTCATCATGTCAGGGAGTTTATTTCATCGTGTCGGGGAATTTACTTCATCATGTCGGGAGTTTACTTCATCATGTCGGTGAGTTTACTTCATCATGTTAGGGAGTTAACTTCATGTCAGGGAGTTTATTTTATCGTGTCGGGGAATTTACTTCATCATGTCGGGAGTTTACTTCATCATGTCGGGGAGTTTACTTCATCATGTCGGGAGTTTGCTCATGTCAGGGAGTTTACTTCATCGTGTCGGGGAGTTCATACAGGGAAGTATACGAGAAACCCTTATTTTTGTAGCATGTATGTCGACATGTTAGTTTATTTGAAATTTCAAGCCACGCATTTACCGAAACGAAACATAAAAATCATGTGCGTGGAATGTTGATGCTATTCTTTTCCAGCAATAAGAGATACTTTAAAATCGTCTTGCTATTCTGAGACTTAGTCACGTTTCGTAATGCAGATAGCCCATGACATTCCAGGGTGGAATTTGGGTCAAGCCTGTCACGCGCAGTCTTTCAACTTCACATTGCTGTTACAATATATTGTTCAACACGATTAAATATGAGGCTTCTATAAAGTATGACTTTGCCCAATAAACAACACATGTAAAACAACGGGTTTGATATGAGAAATTTGTAATTAGTTGTCTTCATAATCACATCTATGACCCTTGCTGGGCATAGTTGAGCCCAGTATTGTTTCAAATAGTTCACTGTATGTAATGTATGATTCATACCGTTTCATGCGGCGGTTTACGGTTCTACATGGTCTATTTCTTTGACAGAAGTTTTTCAGCTTCCGGCATGGATTATACACCCGTATATGTTCTTTGCTTCTGGATACATTGGAATCAACAGGTTGGTCTGTAGTTTGCAATTATTTTCCTAAAAGATAATACGGTTCCATGATATCTTCACGATGTTTGGGTTGACCATAGCAACATTCTCCGAAACATACTTCAAATCTAAACTGGAAGCAATCACAACACAAACCCAGATAACCAAACGGAACCGTACACAAGAGTGAGTGAGGGAGTTGGGTTCAACGCCGTTTTGAATAGTGTTCCGTGTCAGCTTGATGTGGGAGGAAAGCCCGAAGTGATGCAGGTCTTAGACCGAACAGGGGTTTTGTGCTGAAAACAAAATCGGGGCGAACCGGGATTCAAACACATAGGTTTCTGGCGTGCCCAAGGGACACAACTCTGCAAAACGAATTAGAGTGCCTTAGGCGACCTTGCCTCCGTACACAACTGTAAGTAACTATCATACAACAAAGATGTTTTAGATGAGATATGTATTGCGGAACATTCCATGAAGAAACAGTGGCAATATTACACAATATATCACAAACTACAAAATACATGCACAATAAACGACAATTAAAAAACAAAGGTACCTTCAACATACAAAGGAGGTACATTATAACAATTTTTATGAAAATAAGTGTATCACAATGATATGGAAACAATATGAGAAGTGAGCAAAACTATTGTAATGTTGTACATACAAGGAATTTGTTTGTAATTGTTGATATGATAACAGATCTTTGAAGTTGTTTCTGGATAGCTGTTGATAAAATTATTAAGAAGTGTTCTTTATCATGATTGAGGATTATTTGTGATCCTCTTTCTTGGTTGTATTTTATACAAGACAGTGCGTGATGTTGCTCATCTTCTAAGACATCACATGTTTCACAGAGACGCTGTTCCAATGGGGTTGGTGGTTTTGTATATCTACCAAATTTTCAACATTTAGTTTGTGATGACTTAAACGAAGTTTTGAGAAAAGTGACCTATGACCTTTATTTTTACAATATGTAAGATAATTCTCAATATTTATAGATGACTTGACCAAACTGTGTGTTCTTAACTTGCTTGCTTAATAATTGCGTGAATTTTTACATTTGAACTGAAGTTTATTAACAGTGTTTCTTTTATTGTGCTTTCCAAAGATAACTACGTTAATAACAACAAATTTGTACTTTTCACCAATTCTCTCCTCCCATAGCTTACACTTCCTTCCTCTGCACATAACATTATATTGCAGGGAACAAGTGATGCTCTGCAGCAACTCCTTGTTTCATCATGTCGAGGAGTTTACTTCATCCTCGGAGAGTTCATCAGGTGCATCTGCTACTCGCTCAGCCGAGTACATGACGTCTGTCCTGACCGCGTACTTCCGTCCCTCCATCACCTCCGACCCCTCGTGGAGAATGTCGTGTTGGAATATCAGCGCTGACCCTGTGGAGGAGGGTCGCAGGGCAAGGTCAAACATCAACATACAGGGCAAGGTCAAACATTGGCAGGGCAAGGTCAAATATCAAAATACAGGGCAAGGTCAAACATCAAAATACAGGGCAAGGTCAAACATTGGCAGGGAAAGGTCAAACATCAAAATACAGCAACACATTTAACAGCAATTTAACATTTAATAGTTTAACAGCAATATGCACTGATCTGTTCTTACTTCTTTCTACACAATATGGACGAATCCCATAATGTTTTCAAATCTGCGTCTAAGGGCTACAGCAATATTAGGCGTAGAACACTGAACTAATTGCACCAGAGGTCTACAATCGCCTTTCTTCGGTGATATAAAAGCTTGAGTGACGAGGATGTGATACCCCAGCGAGTGATAACCCAGCTCGTCTTACAGTGACTGTTCCATTAGGATACAATTAATATTTATTTGAACACCTTCTTGTACCTTTTTACACCGTTTAGGAGATTTTTACAAAGACTGAAAGATGGACCTGCATGAATGTTTCTTAATGTAATGTTCAGGAACAAAAGCAACTCTTTCACACCTGATGTGCGCTTCGGCCAGTGGATATTTTTAATACATGTCGAATACATTCAGATGAAGCAAATGAAATTGAGAGTCAGGGACCATTCTGGCGTGGAAGGGGTGGGATTTCTATAAGAGACACGGTATTTCCTTCTGTCACTGCTTCAAAACACGCAAATATATGGGGGGTAACAATATTGTTTCACTGTATTTTTCAACGTGTTATGTTGTGTTGTGGTTTGGTTTGGTTTGGTTTGGTGGCGTGTGCTGGCGTGGCGTGGCGTGGCGTGGCGTGGGGTGTGCTGGCGTGGCGTTGCGTTGCGTGGCGTTGCGTGGCGTTGCGTTGCGTTGCGTGGCGTGGTAATTATATATTGATATGTTTAGTCATTTTGAAGAAGAGGGGGTTTCTACGTTTATCGCTAACTAATGGATGGAATATTCTGTAAATATTGTACAACGGTACCTTGCCTGGGTACAATTGGCACCTTCTGAACAGCATCACTGGAAAAGAAAGTTGTGCATCCTCCCTGAAAGCCCTGTAAATATATAACTGCAATGCTAGACAATAACCAGTCTCGGATTTCCACAGTCAGTATGTCAATAGCAGTAAAGTCTCCTGTATCTGAATCTGAGCGTAATCTACACACGCTGTGAGCTTCTTAAAAACAGGGGTTTAACAGAACATTTCGAAAATGATGCAGCCACCCCACCTTATTCAGATGCAGCTGTACAGTGATGTAGCCACTCCGGCCTCACCTCATTCAGATACAACTGTACAGTGATGTAGCCACTCCGGCCTCACCTCATTCAGATACAGCTGTACAGTGATGTAGCCACCCCACCTCATTCAGGTACAGCTGTACAGTGATGTAGCCACCCCACCCTCACCTCATTCAGATACAGCTGTACAGTGATGTAGCCACCCCACCCTCACCTCATTCAGATACAGCTGTACAGTGATGTAGCCACCCCACCCCACCTCATTCAGGTACAGCTGTAGTGATGTAGCCACCCCACCCTCACCTCATTCAGATGCAGCTGTACAGTGATGTAGCCACTCCGGCCTCACCTCATTCAGGTACAGCTGTACAGTGATGTAGCCACCCCACCCTCACCTCATTCAGATGCAGCTGTACAGTGATGTAGCCACTCCGGCCTCACCTCATTCAGGTACAGCTGTACAGTGATGTAGCCACCCCACCCTCACCTCATTCAGATACAGCTGTACAGTGATGTAGCCACCCCACCTCATTCAGGTACAGCTGTACAGTGATGTAGCCACCCCACCCTCACCTCATTCAGATACAGCTGTACAGTGATGTAGCCACCCCACCCTCACCTCATTCAGATACACCCGAACAGTGATGTAGCCACCTCACCTCATTCAGATACAGCTGTACAGTGATGTAGCTTCGCTCCATGTTTTTCTTGGTGTAGATCCCATCCTTGTGAATCCTGAAATATTCTCCAGGTTCGTAGCGGAGGAAGCGAAGTCTGAAGACATAGATGCTTATTACTCGTTAGAAGAAAACATAAATCACAAAAATGTGGGTCAGCGTGTCAACTCAGGACCCTATCATAAGACTGTGTTATCATAGGAAAAATAAGAAATTGCCTGCCAAAAAGATTACATTGTTGAAGGGTTTTTCTATTTAAAAATCAGGCTCAAATTCTGAAATAAACAAATATCTGGTTTTGCAGCTGCAGCTGAAACACATCGAAATACCCCAAACCAGGTCTCTCCCCCCCCCTCCCCCACCCCCCACCCCACCCCCCACCTCCCCGAATTTTCAAAGTGTCGGTCCTTTAGTAACCACCAGATGGATAACACTGATGCAGTCAAAGTACATTTATGTGGAAGACACACAGCAGCAATCTACCTTTCATTCAGACCCAAAGCCTTCCTCCCGTTAAACACCTCGGGGATATATGTCTTCACCCTGTTCCATAGTTTCTCCGACTCCTTCGTCGACTCCCACATATATCGGGAACTGTTTCTCAATTCCGGTTTCGATTCCTGCCTGGAGAAAGCACAGAATTAACTTCCATCTAAAACATTTCCGTCATATAATGCATGTCACCTTCAACATCTCATGATACAACATATATCAGACTTCTCTCACATCATATATGTGTTGTATCTGATATATCTACCACCTGCAGTACAATGAATTGTCACATGTTTCCTTAGTGATGTGTATTTTATCTATTTCCTTAGTGGTGTGTGTTGTATCTAATATATCTCCCACCAACAGTACACGGAATTGTCACATGTTTCCTTAGTGACGTGTGTTATCTTTTTCCTCAGTGGTGTGTGTTGTATCTAATATATCTCAAGCCAACAGTACAAGGAATTGTCACATGTTTCCTTAGTGACGTGTGTTATCTTTTTCCTCAGTGGTGTGTGTTGTATCTAATATATCTCAAGCCAACAGTACAAGGAATTGTCACATGTTTCCTTAGTGACGTGTGTTATCTGTTTCCTTAGTGGTGTGTGTGTTTTGTATCTAATATATCGACCATCTACAGTACAAGGAATTGTCACATGTTTCCTTAGTGACGTGTGTTATCTGTTTCCTTAGTGGTGTGTGTTGTATCTAATATATCTCAAGCCAACAGTACAAGGAATTGTCACATGTTTCCTTAGTGACGTGTGTTATCTGTTTCCTTAGTGGTGTGTGTGTTGTATCTAATATATCGACCACCTACAGTACAAGGAATCGTCACGTGTTTCCTGAGTGACGTGTGTTATCTGTTTCCTTAGTTGTGTGTGTGTTGTATCTAATATATCGACCACCTACAGTACAAGGAATTGTCACATGTTTCCTTAGTGACGTGTGTTATCTGTTTCCTTAGTGGTGTATGTGTTGTATCTAATATATCGACCATCTACAGTACAAGGAATTGTCACATGTTTCCTTAGTGACGTGTGTTATCTGTTTCCTTAGTGGTGTGTGTGTGTTGTATCTAATATATCGACCATCTACAGTACAAGGAATTGTCACATGTTTCCTTAGTGACGTGTGTTATCTGTTTCCTTAGCGGTGTGTGTTGTATCTAATATATCTCCCACCAACAGTACAAGAAATTGTCACATGTTTCCTTAGTGATGTGTATTTTATCTATTTCCTTAGTGGTGTGTGTTGTATCTAATATATCTCCCACCAACAGTACAAGGAATTGTCAAATGTTTCCTTAGTGACGTGTGTTATCTTTTTCCTCAGTGGTGTGTGTTGTATCTAATATATCTCCAACCAACAGTACAAGGAATTGTCACATGTTTCCTTAGTGACGTGTGTTATCTGTTTCCTTAGTTGTGTATGTGTTGTATCTAATATATCGACCACCTACAGTACAAGGAATTGTCACATGTTTCCTTAGTGACGTGTGTTATCTGTTTCCTTAGTGGTATGTGTGTTTTGTATCTAATATATCGACCATCTACAGTACAAGGAATTGTCACATGTTTCCTTAGTGACGTGTGTTATCTGTTTCCTTAGTGGTGTGTGTTGTATCTAATATATCTCAAGCCAACAGTACAAGGAATTGTCACATGTTTCCTTAGTGACGTGTGTTATCTGTTTCCTTAGTTGTGTGTGTGTTGTATCTAATATATCGACCACCTACAGTACAAGGAATCGTCACGTGTTTCCTGAGTGACGTGTGTTATCTGTTTCCTTAGTTGTGTGTGTGTTGTATCTAATATATCGACCACCTACAGTACACGGAATTGTCACATGTTTCCTTAGTGACGTGTGTTATCTGTTTCCTTAGTGGTGTGTGTGTGTTGTATCTAATATATCGACCATCTACAGTACAAGGAATTGTCACATGTTTCCTTAGTGACGTGTGTTATCTGTTTTCTTAGTGGTGTGTCTTGTATCTGATATATTTTCCATCGATAATACAGTACAAAAAGGAACTTGTGTTGCATGTTACATACCGATCGCCAAGAGTGACCAGAGCTCTTTTATACCCTTTCTGCTCGGTCTTCTCGATGAACCACTGACATTCCTGCAGAAATAATTAATCTGAGTATATTGAAGCGACACGAGGTGGGATGGAGTGTAGGGAAGGGAAGAATTGAGACGGGAAGGAATGGAGTGTGATGGGGAAGGGTAGAGGTGAAACAGGGAGGGGTGTATTGTATTGGGGAAGGGTAGAGGTGAAACAGGGAGGGGTGTATTGTAGTGGGTAAGGGTAGAGGTGAAACAGGGAGGGGTGGAGGTGAAACAGGGAGGGGTGGAGTGTAGTGGGGAAGGGTAGAGGTGAAACAGGGAGGGGTGGAGCGTAGTGGGGAAGGGTAGAGGTGAAACAGGGAGGGGTGTAGTGTAGTGGGGAAGGGTAGAGATGAAACAGGGAGGGGTGTATTGCAGTGGGGAAGGGTACAGGTGAAACAGGGAGGGGTGTAGTGTAGTGGGGAAGGGTAGAGGTGAAACAGGGAGGGTGTAGTGTAGTGGGGAAGGGTAGAGGTTAAACAGGGAGGGTGTAGTGTAGTGGAGAAGGGTAGAGGTGAAACAGGGAGGGGTGTAGTGTAGTGGGGAAGGGTAGAGGTTAAACAGGGAGGGGTGTAGTGTAGTGGAGAAGGGTAGAGGTGAAACAGGGAGGGGTGTAGTGTAGTGGGGAAGGATAGAGGTGAAACAGGGAGGGTGTAGTGTAGTGGGGAAGGATAGAGGTGAAACAGGGAGGGGTGTAGTGTAGTGGGGAAGGATAGAGGTGAAACAGGGAGGGTGTAGTGTAGTGGGGAAGGGTACAGGTGAAACAGGGAGGGGTGGAGCGCAGTGGGGAAGGGTAGAGGTGAAACAGGGAGGGTGTAGTGTAGTGGGGAAGGGTAGAGGTGAAACAGGGAGGGGTGGAGCGCAGTGGGGAAGGGTACAGGTGAAACAGAGTGAGGTAGAGAGTAGTGGGGAAGGGTAGAGGTGAAACGGGGAAGGTGGAGAGTAGTGGGGAAGGGTAGAGGTGAAACAGGGAGGGATGGAGAGTAGTGGGGAAGAGTAGAGGTGAAACGGAGATGGATAGAGGTGTAGTGGATTGGACAGAGTTACAGTAGGGATAGGTGACGAATACTCGTTATAGATACGATGTGTTTTATTTATATTGGTTGTGACAAATACTCTCTAAGTATAGTTAAGGTGATAAGTTTTGGTAGTGGTTATAAAAAAAATACTCTTTAGGTATTGTTTCGGTGGCTCTCTGATCCTCAATGTTATATTCGACACTGTTGTATTTTTCTCACCTCTGGTGACAGGACATTTTCCAAAACAAACGCAAGTTTGTGTTTAGAGTCCTCTGGAAGATCGACTTTCTTGTACACAATATCTGGCTTGTCACTGATCTGGATATCAAGAAAATATACTGTGAACTAGAAATGAAGTTAGTATTTAACTGTACCGATATACTGATTTTCCTATACTTTTTAGGATTTTTTTATATTCACAGAAAGTATTTGAAATGAGTAGAATTAATACCATGTGAATATTCAAAGGAATTGCTTGAATTTTGCAATGTATGAAAAGAGCCAAGTACAGTTATGGCTTGTGTTTTTTTCAACCGTCTACACCATTCTGCCACACGAGAAACCTATCAACGGTGCATTTGTCCCTGAACGTGGTCCTCATAGATAACAAACATGTGAAAATTAGAGATCAGACAGTTATGTTAGAAGTAGGCGTCCCAATGGGCACCAATGTTTGCTCCTACACTTTTCACTTGATACAGGAGCTCACTGACATCGATATCATGGTCATCGATCCACGCAATTGGGATACGATGACATGCATCAAAGAGCCTGACCACGTCACTCGATCTCGTTTGTCGCCCAAAACGACAAGCATAGTCGCCTTTTACGGCAAGCATGGGTTGCTGATGACCAACTCTACCCCGACTCGCGGATCTTATGTCTCTCAGACGTGTGAGACATTGTAATAATGAACTGAAGCAATGGAAACGAACATCCTCTAGACAGATTGAACCTGATGCCGAACACTCACAGACAACTCGACCTGATCTAGACAGATGGGACCTACTGCCGAACACTCACAGACAACTAGACTCAACCAGAGGAACACACAACAATAGATCTAGACAGATGGAACAGCTGAACACTCACAGACTGTTTCGCGCCCATGCTCCGGTGATTCAGCCGATGATCAGTATTTTCCAAATTTCTCTCTCCTGTCTTTCTTCTGGGAAATCCCTTTTTCCTAATTATAGCAGCAACTGCGCAGAATATTTGCCACCATTTGATTGGTTGCCGCGGTTTCGTACAAATATGCTGATGGTTCGTGTACTCTATCGATTAGTTTGCTTCACATTCTCCTTTCTGTGCCTGGTGTGTGTGTTTGTGTGTGTGTTTGTGTGTGTGTGTGTGTGTTTGTGTGTGTGTGTGTGTGTGTGTGTGTGTGTGTGTGTGTGTGTGTGTGTGCTTATACTATATATATATATATATATGTTACGACCGGCAGTAGCGCGAACTGACAGAAAAAAACGGTGCACAGGTATAGTATCTAAAGCGCTGTTGACTTAGTTCGAGATGCACACAATGCTAAATATGACGGCTAGTCGTCCCCTGTGCCCATTAACCGAAAAATAGGCCATTTACCCACTAAAGGGTGTCACCGACTTTTTATTGTTGTCCACAGAGTTTGTGTCAAATATTAAATTAGCAGTCTGTGAATGTATTATTGTTGACATATTTATTTTTAAGAATTGACTTCAATATGTTTTGCGTTTATGGTGTTACAGACGTAAAACTAAGTGTACACACCTGTTTAACCCCCCTCCCCACAAGAACAAATATTGAAGTCAATTCTTAATACCAGGTCATTCTCAGTGGGATTTCGCGTGACTTGGTTTGTGTATATATTACATATTACGTGTTATTTGTGAGTATATAATAATATTAGTTTATAAATTCCACAGTCATGGCGCAATACTGCACTCACTCATACACTTGATTATATATCCACTAATCAGGAAAATAATTAGTAAAATGATAATATTTTGATTGGTTTAAGTTTTGCAACTGCTTCACCCACAGGATTTTGTAAAGCGAAATTCGAGTATCAAACGACCCTTAAATTGGAAACCTCGTCCTGTGGTGTATCAGTTCTAAGGACGGCAAGCATGGACATAATTTCATCTGTCATCGTCTGTTGGTGTGACATGCCGAACTGTCCATGTGTATGCAGTCTGTCAGTACAATCTCCCCTAAAAATATTATAATCCATATTATCACTGGTAAACGAAGAATAATTAATTAATTTGTGTTTCGGTGTAGTAATGTCCTATTTTGTTTAAAAAATAAATCTATACGATTAACTCCGTCGCATCCATCCTCTGACGTTTAACACGCGCAATGATATCACCATTGACCAATCAAATGGCCTAAAATATTTTTGGCGTATGATAATGAAAATAGATTCTCGGATTTCCTCGCCAAATAGGAAGTAATGACAGGCATAAATTGACAGTAGACGTATTTTCCCGACTCAGTAGACAGTGACACACAACTAGTGAGTATGTGTTTGTATGTTCTGCGGTAAACTGACACAGACATCACAAGGCATGACACAATCCCCAGGTTGAGGTATGATTTCATGTTTCACGTCTTGACCTGTCAACATTCAAGGTTCTGCCACCGTTGGACTGTTTGGCGATGTGTAATGAAACGGTGACTGGACAATCCGTACACAAACGTTTTGGGCGGACTCGTACCCAACTGTTAGATACCCGTACCCACTCCTGCCTAATCAACTTGTTGGATCGTACCCAAGTGTTGGATACGCGTACCCACTCCTACCTAATCAACTTGTTGACTCGTACCCAAATGCTGGATACCCGTACCCACTCCTACCTAATCAACTTGTTGACTCGTACCCAAGTGTTGGATACCCGTACCCACACCCACCTAATCAACTTGTTGACTCGTACCCAAAAAGCGAATCCGTACCCAGTGAAAATATTTAATTTAAAACATTAAACATTATTCGGATTAAACAAGTTTTCAATGAATATTGTAGACTTTGATTGATTTGTGTTTCTTATAACGACACATCGCCGACTGTGTAAACTTCTTGTAACGATTAGGGGCGGTCGGGTAGTCTAGTGGTTAAAGCGTTCGCTCGTCACGCCGAAAACCCGGGTTCGATTCCCGACATGGGTACAATGTGTGAAGCCCATTTCTGGTGTCCCCCGCCGCGATATTGCTGGAATATTGCTAAAAGCGGCGTAAAAAACCATACTCACTCACTCTTGTAACGATTCCTTGACCTGTGCCTAACTGCAGATCTATCCCAGAAACTCGCTGGCCTATAAAGGTCACGCTAACACTGGTAATATATGTAGAGAATATTATATGAGTGTTCATGTCATACCATGTTGACGACACGAGTGTCTAAATACCGGAATTTAGGCACGAGTGTCGTAAACATAGTATGATAGGAACACGAATATAATGTTCTATTTATTACCGAAGAAGATGTCTACATACAGACACGAAGTTTAGTGTTTACCTGTGAGGAGAGCAAGTCGAAACAGCAGCGGAACCACAATTCAATCTTAAGCAATGACATCGTTTCTAGTGTGACGTCATTCCGACCTCACGTCACAATAAAATTCGAATGACATCAACAATATCGTCCGGATGACGGAAACAATCCACTGTTGTCTCGTGACGTGATATGACCCTGGGGCACCTATGATTTTTATGAACCCCGATAAGTTTGCCCTCGTAGTTAACAAATAAGCTTTATTGTAGTGTTTTAAATGAAAGAGCGACTCCTAGTCCGAGAGCAACAATATTATTTGTGATGAACCAAATTATTTTTTCACCGAGGGCTCTCAACGGCTAGTCGACCACGCTAGCTCGTTAACCAGCATCACAGACACCAGAAAGCTGCAGAGGAAACACGTACTGTTTTATAAAGAGAGAGATGATGTGCGTCAATCAATCAGCGTTTATTCAGAATGTAGACCATCCAGTCCATTGTTCACAAAATGCATTGTGTTATTACATAACAATTCAAGTTACAACAATGGTCATAGTATGTCCCTAAAAATAATAGTAACCATACCTATCAATACACACAGTCCATAACACCTCTACATTAAACTAAAATATAGATATGCCCCCACTTTCCAAGCTTCAACGTCACTGTTACACACAGTATTAATACATAGATGATCTTCAACTCCACGAAGATATGTATTGAGAGAGATGTTGCGAGATGTATTTGCATGAGATGGATCATCACAGGGAACACATCTTTGCTTGCACTTTATATACTGTAAATCTTGAAATTGCGTCTCCAAATTAATACGACTGCTGAACCCTAGCCAAAAATGGTACTCAATATCAATGCAACTCCCCGCCCCCCTCCAAAGTGGAATAATACATATCCTTAACTAAATCCAACGAAACAGCAAATAGCACCGCTTATTAGCGCTGAGTAGAGCACTTCACTGAAAGCAACACACAGTTTCTATGTTTATTCTGTTGACTGGCATTAAGGAAGGTCAAAGACAATAAAATAGTTGAACCAACAACAGTTCACTGATTGGTCTGCAGTGAGGGGAGCGTGAACATGACAGTCAAATAGAGCACCACTCACAGTGTACCTTACATACGTCGTTTGGGTTGTTGCCTGTTACTAAAAACTTAAAATACCCAAAATAGACACAACACTAGCTAGCCAAATAAATAAACAAACCGACCCAAACATAGCTAAAACTACCACACTAGCATACATACACGAAAATTGGCCAAATTGGTGTCACATTTACACGGACGGATCCTCAGATCCGACCTCCAAACACACAGGTTTCGGAGTCCATACCACACAACCAACTAAAACCACACAATCCTTCCGACTCCCAAACAACCAATCAATATTCACGGCAGAACTAATGGGCATGGCCTCAGCCCTCCATAATCAACAATCCAAAAACCACAAAAAAATCCTAATACTTACCGACTCCCTAAGTGGACTGCAAGCCCTCCAAAACAAAAATACCAAAAACCGACCTAAATTAATAAATCAAATACTTAAAAGCTCCAACGACCTAACTAAGGCAGGCAAACAAATAACCTTCTTGTGGATACCCGCCCACGTAGGAATATACGGTAATGAAAACGCCGATAAAGCAGCTAAACTATCCCTCAAAATCCCAGAAATAAGCTTAAACTTACCCATCTCAAAATCAGAAATTAAAAGTGTAAACAAGCAAAAAATCACCCAAAAATGGCATAACCTATATCTAAACTCAAATAGCCAAATCAAAAAAGTGCTCAGCAAACCACTAACCAAACCAAAAATTCTCCATCCATCCAAAAAAATCGACAGAGTAATCACTAAACTCCAAACAGGACACACCAACCTAAATAACCACCTAAAAAAATTTAAAAAACACACTACAGGTAACTGCCCACACTGCAAACAACCAGAAACCCCAGAACACGCACTCATCCACTGCACACACTACCTAACACATCGAACCGCATTACAAACCACCCTCAATCTAAACAAGGCTCTAACTCTAGAAGCAATACTAAACCCACAAAATAAACTAGAAAACTTCAAGGCCTTAGGCGTATTCTTAATCAAAACGGAACTAATAAAACGCATCTAAAAACACAATAACTCACCAAATCAAAATCACATAAACAAACAAACATCCACCATACCCAGCTCCCTTAGTTCTCCTCCCCAATCCCATCGGCATCTATTCCAAATCTCAAAATTCCCAAATTCTATATAAGCAACCCCTAAAACCCCCCTCTTGGGTTGCACAGACCACCTTCGCCCCTTTCGGACACACATTAAATGGCCTGGCCGGGCCCGTGTGCGAAATACGCATCAGTCGGAAAGCGCACGTTAAATCTCCAAAGTAAGTAAGTAAGTAAGTGCCTGTTATCGGCTGTGCTCCGTCTCTACGCCTCGCACATAATCGCAGAGCCTATGCAGCCTGTAACCATATTAACATCGACGTGTAATTCCATCGCTCCAGTTTAGAAATACTACATAAAAAACATCAACATGTATTCATATACAACTAAATTTTGTAAAGTAGGAATGAACTGTTATATATTCTTTCAAGAGTTGCCAATGAGAAAAAAAAACATTATTCGCAACAAATCCGGGCCGCTTGGGCATGACCTTCACCTTTCCTTTCTCATCCAGTATAAGCGCTCCGTCAGTCCAAGCGTAA